TTATTAGTTTAGCAATATGATTACATAATTTGTTGGATAGCTGTGAAGATTAACTCAGATTTAAAAGAGATTTAAATTTGAATTTGTAACAAACTAAATCATATCTTTTTGTTGGAGATATTCAAGGAGCAAATCAAATATTCAACCGATTATGCAAAGGTTCTGGACAAAAATAACTGTAGATCCACAAGGAAAAAGCCCAGAGTTATTTTTCTATATAGGGAGCTCAAACCTACATTAGAAGACATCCATTCACATTGAAGATTTTAGAGTTCTGGGGTTTACAATAGTCATTGTTATTTTATGTACACCTTTATGTTTCAGTAACTTGGTATAAAGGGTTTGTCTAGTTAAGTTGTAATTCAACATTGTTATGTACACCTTTATGTTCCAGTAACTTGGCATAGAAGGGTTGTCTAATTGAGTTGTAATATTCAAAATCATCCATCTTGTTAGATTGAAGCTGATCACTAGGGTGTAGTGATTGTTATCTCCTATCCCAAGTTATGTGATAGAGAAGTGAGTAGGTTCTCATGTGTTAGGGGGGCTCTAAATAGAAATTCATTGGGTAGTGTTAGGAAGAGGCATTGAACAATATAGGGTTTGTTATTGCTTGTAAGTCTAATCGTACTAAGTTACTAATTGTGAATTTCCTTTTTTGGTTTTTGAACTCAGCCATCCAGAAGTAGGTGTGGTTTCACCGAACTGGGTGAGCAACTATCATGTTATTTACTTCCTTTTTGCTACATCATTTAGCATTTGAAATTGTGTTATCTTATAGTATATCTTCTCGAACCTGTTGGTGAAGCATCGTATTCGACATTTTTCCCTTGAGGAATAAAATTTCACATATCCTCTACAAATAAGAGAATGATGTTAGAATATATAACGTAATAAGCACATAATAAAATCAAAAGGTATTCTTTCACATAGCATACGTAAATATTCCTTTACCCCCCATTATCGTTTTCATGGTCCTGGGTGATAAAAGTAGAAGAATATAGAGTCTGAAAAACATTTAAAATTTTGGATCACCTTCTAGGAAATGGGTAAAAGAATGTTTGGATCACCCCTTTGATAAGAAAAGGATCCAACATCCATGATATAGGAAAGAAGGGGCCTCCCTTCTCCCCTGTAGTCATCGGAGAGGAATTGTCTCGCCCTCTCACTCGCACAAACATATCCTTTCAATCCTCATAAGGGTTCACATAGAGTTTCAACAAGCATCTACTTGGAAAGGAATGCAACATGACCCTACCATTATTGTGAAGAACTTATATGGTAAAAAAGGATAAGATCACCCACACAGTGGGGGAAACACCCAAACTATAACAGATTATCTAGAAAACCCTAAGCATACTCCATACATTGGGGTTGATCTAAAATGGGGCGACATTGACAGTCGTCGGAAAATCTATCTCAAAAGAAGTAAAGAGGACTAAAATTCTCAGCTCATGAATAACATGTAGATGAAGGTAAAATTAAGGAGTATATGGCTTGCTAGAGGTATCCATGTTGTCAATCTCTGTTTCTAAACAGGGCTCTGATATCACATCCTCCTCACGTCCTATACTAGAAAAAGCTAATGCCACAACGAAACATGTAGATCATTTCAGAATTGGAGTACAAGGATGCAATATCTCGAGCATGAATAAGTTTGAATTTCTTACCCATTGTTACCTCCAGTGTAAAAGAAAGGATTTCAATGTTTTTACCCTAGGAAGAGAAGTAGATTTTTCACCCTCTCATTCTTTCCCACTGTTATCCCAGGCCTGTATATCTTTATGAAAAAGTAGAAGTAGAAAAGAAGAAGAGAAAAGGGTTTTCCAGAGCAATGTATTAGTTTTCCTACAAAAACCTGATAGCGCAAGCAGTATATCCATCCAATAGGATAGCTATTGCGAGAAGTGGAAAAGTCATTACACATGAATGACGTGTTTAAGAAAAAGAGACTAAATTGGTTTTCCCAATCATGCCATAATGAGTTGCATTAAATGCTAGATACATTATTTTCCTCCTAAAGCAAACAAGTTTTCACTATTGATTTACATTTTGACGACTTAGAGTTCAATCAAGAGAAACATGACATATCCCTCTACCGCCTAACTACCTAAGAAACACCTGGCTAGATATGGATACTCACCCTAAGTTGAGGGACTTGTCTCCCCTTAAAAAGGTTGCCTTTAATTGAGGAACTCACTTCCCTTTTAAAAGACCGTTTTTAGTTAAGGGACTCACCTCAAGCTGAGAAACTCGCCCCAAGCTGAGGGACTCATCCCAAGCTAAAGGACTCACCTACCATTTAGGGGCCACCCCTAAAATAATAAATTTGTATCTTAGCTCTCCCTGAACAATGGGGTGGAACCCAAAAGAATCCTTAAAACACTTTGTACTTCACAAGCCCTCGTGCTTGAGAGATTGTGTAGTGTTATATTTGTGAGAGTCCTAAATAGGAGCGACTTATAGGTCCCTGCATAGTATAAAGTCGCTCGGGAGACATCCTCACGATTTATAAGGGCCTCGCCTTTGAGAAGAAGGGTGTGGATATTATCGTTACCTTCTCACTAGTTATATGGGAATATGAGAAATGGTCACACCCTGACTCCCTGAAAAGTAGGTAGTCAACAATCTCCCGTAGTCAAGGGGAAGGGGTCACTTCCTCTAAGGGTTTCCTAAACCCTAGGCCCAAAGGTCTCTATAAATACTTCTCCCCTAGCGGGATAATAGACAAATCATAACTTGTAGAGAATACCATAAACACTACGTTAATATATAGAGTCTTTCATCTCACGTGAGCAGGTCCTCTAACACCTCTGTAACATCACCATACAAGGCTTTTCACCATCGTGGGGAAGTCCTAACCATCCTAAATTATTTTAAACCTAATAAGGCCTTTGAGTATCCACTACCCTTGTAGGGATACATACACATTTGTACTTTGTTACAAGTACATCTTCCATTGGCTACCTTTATCTAAGTTGAAATATATGTAAACCAAACAAGATATCCCCTAGTTATACTCATGAATCCTCTCTAAGTTCATGAGTATTTAAGGTAAACAACATCAACACATGTAGCACGTTTGTCCATGAAATGGTCGTAATAACCAAAAATAGGCAACATGTCTATGTTAGGAAACATGTGCATCATCACCAACATTACTTTCAACGACATCCAAGTGGTCAAGATAATTTTTCTTCAGAAATGAAAATCTCATGTGACATGTTATGGTATCTAAAGTTGTGTTTTCGGCATCATCTAAATCAACTCCTAATTCTATCACAATTAGTTACAATGCCTCAGATTTCTAAATTGAAGAGTGGTCCAATAATCTTTCTGTAATTGAAAGATGAAAGATGCATGATACATCATCAAGAATAATAGTCATCTCATTGATGGGAATATGAAATAATGACATCTTTGCGTGCTATCTCTCAACAAATTGTGACAAAATACCATAATTAATAATAATTACATTCAGTGCTACAAAAGTCTTTCATTCCAGATAACTCAAATACTTCCTAAAACCATGGTTCATATGGCAGTGATAACTTTGTTATCTTCCTAAGATGGTTTATATACTTTAGTGTATCACGATATTGCAAAAACAAATACATCAACGCCAAACCATTCAATTAGTATAAAATAAATGTTTAAAAGAATCATTATAGAAATTTATGCAACCTTTTATTCCCACACATGCATAAGAGTATGGTTTGCATGCCAAGGAAGTAGTGACATGTGATCGCGACTCCTAGAAAACTATTAGGTGCGGCAGTTGTTGGGCTTCAAGTGTGAAAGTGCTAAAGTATCCAACTACTCACAAGGATTTAGCTTTCTTTCTATGCACTAAAGAAAGTTGAGATAACCGGCCATGTTTATACGTTGTTGTTATATAACCACACAAGACAAGGCATATCATAATCATAATTAAGGTGCACTTAAAAAATTAATAAAGAGAATGACAAACATAATTAAAGAACATGGAATTATGTATTAGCGATCTACATTTTGTTATTCGTATTACAGGTTCGAATTTCGAAATTCGGATTTTCGCGCATCAGAGCATAACTCATTCCAACATAAAAAAGGTCCCAAATTCAAAGCAAATCCAAACCAAATCTAAGTAGGAGAAAAAAGATATTACATTTCTATCGGGTGATATATAATGTAGCTTAACTATAATTTATTAAAGAATTGCATGCATGAAAGTGATTAGCTTGAATGAAAATGAGTATAAGTTGATGAAGGGTGCTTAGTTTGAATGAATAATAGAAATTAAGAGAAAGGTGGAAAGAATGTAGAATCAGGATATTTGAGAGGTCTCTTAGTGTTTTTATATTTGATTTCAAATGTAAGAGAATGAGAAGGAAAAGATTGGCGCGTAATTTTTTTTGAAAATGGAAAAAAAACTAGCATTAAACTAACTAGCATAAGAAATGTTGAGAAGAAAATACAGAGTATCATAACATCAGAAAAATAACTGTAAAGAAGTCTGCAACCACCCAAAACACAAAATTTCCAAAAATGTAGCACCCAAAACCAAAAGTTAGACCAATAAAAACACCAGATAAGATGATCAAACTGACAAGATTCCTCTTCTTCAAGTGTGTCTGAATTTTAATGTCCATAGGATGTGTATAAAAATTGAAATCTGGATATATGTTTTAGTTGCATTAGGTGCGATTTTAATGAAGAGGTTTCAAACTCACGTAATTTGAGTTTGCGAGAGAATTAGAAAGAGTGCAATGAGCAATATCTTTATTTAATACTTTGGGCCTTAAGTACACGTCAACCATATTTAGCCCAATACCTTATACCACTAACAAATTTGCGCTGATTGGCTCGTACTTCGCGAAAGTTCTTTTGAAACTCACCGTTACTTTACTACCCCTTTTTTCATCTCAAATTTTTTAGCTTTGCTACAGTTTATTGTTTCTCTGCGACTGAAATTGTGAGTAGAAGAACACTTCACTTCACCGTTACCTGCACAGCACAAGATGGTACTGCAGTTGATTCATTCTTCATGATTCCATTTGATTTCACCGACTCTAAGACTTCATCGTTTCTTATATTCCTAATCGTTCATTTTTATGTTATCAGGATTTTCAGGGTTTCTTAAACGACTTGCAGGATTGGGAACTTTCTACAAAGGAAAATAAAGCGACGAAAACCAAGTCACAAAAGGAAAATGTTGGTAATTTTTATCTTTACCTTCAAAACTTGTTGCAATCATCATCCATGTTGGTGTACATGAATGGAGGAGCATCTTTTATGTGAATTGATTTCGTAAATTTGATTTTGGTTAAAAGTAGGTTTAATTTAAAGTGATTTATGTTTGAATAAGTTATCTTGAAAGTTAGTTGAACAATAAATTTGATAGTGCCAATCAATTCTGAAATCAGAAGCTCTAAGAGTGTGTTTGGTTATAATTGATTTTGAGTGAATTGATTCTGGTGGTTTGAAGTAAGTTGAAGGTTAAATGATTTATGATTGGATACATTTTGTAAAAGTGAGTTGAACATTAAATTTTAGGGTGTGTTTAATTTTGCGGTGACAAGAATCGATTCTGAGTGAATTGATTCTGGTTAAAAATGAGTTGAATGTAAAGTGAGTTGAACAACAAATTTCGGTGTAAAAAACACGTTTAAAGTCAAAAGCTACAAAACCCTAGCTTCAGCTAGAATCAATTCTGAAAACCAAATCAATTCTACTTTTGAAAAAACAAACATTTCAAAATCAATTTTACACATCTAAAATTGCATTTAGCTCTTCCAAAATGAAAACCAAACATACACTTAGTGTAAAAAATACCTTCAAACTCAAAAGTTCTGAATTTTAAATTCAAGTAGAATCAATTTTGAAAGCAAAAAAACTCTTCTCTGAGAACACCCCAAAGGTAGCAAAATTAATTATATACTTCAAGAATTAGTTCTGTCTCTATCTTAAAATTGGAACCAGACAAGCATGATGCATTGCCAAACACATATCCACTTAACCAATTCTGCCATTTTATGAAATGGTTGTGTTTGTTATTGCTTTTTTTTTTTTTGCGATTTGTGGAGATTTTGTTAACCTAATAAGGCAATAATTCAGACTGTATATATACTGTTTGAAAACGGTAGCCGTTTATAAAAGGGATAATTTATTTACTCGCTTTTATTTAAATTTTCATGCTGACTTTATATTTAATGGTATCTCTGTGTGGAAAAGGACCCTGCACTTTTTCCGTATATATTGGTATGCTATATATGTATGTGCTTGCTTATGTATGGATGTGTTAATTCATTTGTGATGTATGACATTCTGATAGAAATTCACAAAAGGTTTTTCTTCTTGGAGTGGTGGATCAGTGGGTGTAAAGAATGGGTCAAGAGGAGATACTATTTCTTTTGATCATGCAAGAAATTCTTCAGCTCAGTATGATTTCTCAAGAAACAATGATCTGTTAAAACGTGTGAGTAGTAGTTTTGCTTCTGAAGATGTTCCTGATGCTGCATCCGAGAAAGACCTGGTAGGAGCTTTTTTACCTTTCTCTATGTTTTGGGCTTGCGGTAACGGGGTGGGGGAAGTTGATTATTAGGATGCTAGTAATAGAAAAACCCAATATATAACATAATTTGGGTCTAGAGAAAAGGTAATGAATGACAAAAGCAGATCACCGTGAGTTGATATGTATTGCTCCAGATCATTAATTTAGCAATAGTAAATAGATTATGCATTGGTTTTCTGTTACCATCTTGTGTGATGCTGAAAGATACTGCAATTCATCTGTATATCACAGGGTAACGAGTTTTTTAAACAGAAGAAATTTAAGGAAGCTATTGATTGCTATTCAAGGAGTATTGCCTTCTCACCAACTGCTGTAGCGCATGCAAATAGGGCAATGGCCCATATAAAGCTAAGAAGGCAAGCTTACATTTTGTCTTGAAAGAGTTATAGCTTATTCATCAAATAATACCAAATGATGATCTTTGTCAATGGTGTGATCTTAAATATAAGAAAGTAGTTTTACACGTAAGGTCATATGTTAATTGGTCTATCACCTTACTGATGCTCATGAAGGGCACTTCGGCTAAAGATTTTATGTTTCTTTTCTCACCTATTTACGTCGGCAGATTTCAAGAGGCTGAGGATGACTGTACGGAGGCCTTAAATCTTGACGATCGCTACATAAAAGCATACTCGCGGCGAGCAACGGCTAGAAAAGAACTTGGGAAAAATAAAGAATCCATGGAGGGTGTGTTAACTTAACATGCAAGCAATCTTGTCTGTTGTCTCAAACACATTCTGATATTTGAATTAGCTGACTATCTGATTTGCTTAAATTACAGATGCTGAGTTTGCCATGAGGTTGGAACCTAACAATCAAGAAGTCAAGAAACAGTATGCTGATGCCAAATCACTTTACGAGAAAGTAAGTACACCAGTTGTTCCAGTATTATTACATGACTACTACAAAAAGTCACGATTTTAATCCTTATTATTTTCTATTTTTAATAGCTGGACAAGCCATGAATAATGAAGGGTTAGAGTTGCATGGAAATTTAAAATTTTCGTTTCATCCCTCACCCTCAGTATGCAAATGCACATATTAATATGTAATACAATACAAAATCGAATTAGTTGATGCCTTCAATAAGATTCTGAGCATAAGGGCCTTAGATTTAGTAGTCGGGATGGAATAAAGAATTACAACTTTAGTAAGCCTTTAGAGATAGATTGTGAGGGATAAGATACTGCAAATGATAACTTTTTTAGATGATGAATCTTTTTTTTTTTTTTCAGTATGAAAAAGAGTGATGGATACTAGTTAAAAGTATTTTCCATGACAGAAAGAAACCTTTGAAGAAAAATGGTCAATTTTGAAATCATCTGTTTGTCAGCATATGTTCAGGCCTTATGGGGTAAAAATTTAGGGAAACCTGTGTTACAAAGATCTTGCCATGGCAAGGTTCAGGAAAGGGTTGGTCGGATCTATTTTAGGCAGCTGTATATCTACTTCCTGAACTACGACCAAAGTCTTGAATGAGCAAACTCTAAAGAGTTTAAGGGGCTGACAGAATAAGTTTTGGGGCTGTTAGATAATTGTTAGAAACTGGTACCAAAATATGATTCAGTTGTAGAAATTGGCTTTTATTGATTGCAGAAAACGTTTGCGGCAGAAACAGAATTACACACACTATAGAGAATGCGTTCACACATAAACTATGGAGTAGTTTACTGTTACAAAACAATTCAGGTCCAAGAAATTTGAGAGCGTTGGTCTCTTACTTCCAAGAATTAGAGAGCTTTGTTTCTTCCTTCCATAACCACTCAATGTCTATCCCATAGCCATATTCCCTACCTTTCTCTATTTATTCCTAAAAATAAACAACACAACTGACAGATAATAAAATCATAATTGCCAATAACAATAAGTCTAACAAAAACATATTTGCTGCTAGATAAGGGGAAGGGTTTACGAGTAAATGCATCAGTGGTGCAAAGAATCAGAGCAGAAACCTAGTAAGAATGGTTGGTTTTTAACCCATACATTCTGATGGGCGAAAACTTATGCAGTCTTAAAATCACTTTAAAAATTGGAAAGGTGGTCAAACAAAAAAGGGAAATTAATGGGGATTTAATAGTGTGTTGGCTGCAGTGGCTGTGATATATCCGCCTCCTGCCCTCAATTCAGACGGCAAAGGCTGCTGCACAAAAATATGACATGATGCCACATTATGACCAGGCTTCACGACTAGACACTAGAATTCTATATTGTGCAGTTAACTGTTCTTGTTTCATGTCCATGTTTTTCCTCACTTCTTTGGTGCAAGATTTAAACTTTTAAATTGCCTTTTGTCCAGGAAATTCTACACAAAACATCTAAAGCACTAAGAAATACTGTGCAAAAATTGGGAAAGTCTGAGGCAAAAGTTAATGGAAGCAGCAGCATCCCCTCTGTTTCACATGGTACTCAAAAGTCAGGTCCAGCTGAAGCTCATCATCAAATCAGGGTACAAATAACTTCAGTTCTTAACAAAACATTTTTAGATATACTAATTGTTAAGAGCCCCACATCGGACAATATATGACATGAACGTGTGTTTATAAGTCGGGGCAATCCTCACTCTACCAACCAGTTTTGTAGGGTTGAGTTAGGCCCAACCACAATTTCTTAACACTAATATCTTTGTGAATGGGATAGATATACTTTGTTTGGTGTTCCTCGTATACAGTGTCCATAAAATTTTATTATGTTTACAGGGTAATGAGGGAAAAATTCCTGCTAAAGAATCACTCTTAATGGAGGAGATCAATACTAAAGATACAAAATCTGGAAGCAGAACTCAAGGACAAGTAGGCAATGGTTCTAAGGAAGGTCATGGTGCAACCAACAGCTTGGAGCAGGTTAAGCTTTATCTTCAAATTCTTCGCCCATCTAGTTTAGTAGTGTAGTTCTTGTGCATATTGTGGTTCTGTTTAGAAGCAATGTTTATGTAGTTTCTTAAACATAAAGATATATTTCTATGTTATTCACAAGTACTTATTTAAGTTTTAATGTATACACTTTATTATTAAAAGCTTTATAATTTAATTTTATACACATTACTAGGAATAAAATAATATTTAGGGCTTTTTAATTTACTCCTAAATTGTTTGCCAGTATTATTGTATTGCTGTGATTTTAGGATATTAGGTTTTATGCTAATAACTTTTCTCAACCTTCGTTCATTGTCCTGCTTCATGTTTTTTTGTCTCACTTTTAACAGAGAAATCACAAAACTAGAAAGCCGGAAATTAAAGCATCTGTTGAGCAGCTTGCTTATCGGGCTGCTTCTCGAGCTATGGCTGACGCTGCAAAAAATATAACGCCACCAACTACAGCTTATCAGTTTGAAGTCTCTTGGAGAGGGTTTTCAGGTGATCGTGCTTTGCAGGCTTGTCTATTAAAGGTATTCAAGTTTGTTGTGCATTTGTGATTTGATTATATTTCCAATTTTAAGTATATTTTCTTTGATTAGAACAAAAGATTCCTTATATATGTTGGATTTTTGTTGTTAAATGATCTGCTTTTCTATTTCTTTTTATGCGTTAGGCATTGTCTCCCCATGAGTTACCGAAAATATTCAAAAATGCCTTATCTTCTACCCTGCTTGTTGAGATCATCAAGTGTGCTGCCTCTTTTTTCGCGTAAGTATTTTTCAGCGAAAATTAATTTGTTTTTTAGACTTCTGCTTTACCTTTAATCCTTTAATTGGGATAACAAATTTGCTCTTTTGGCAGTGAAGACATGGATCTAGTTGTCAGTTATATGAACAATTTAACCAAGGTACCGAGATTTGATGTGATCGTAATGTGCCTCCCATCAGCAGATAAGGATGGTATGTATGTTTTTCTATTAGGGGTAAAATTCTCGAGTGTTTCTATTATTGCCACACTTTTTGAAATCTCTAGAGTTTAAAGGTTTCATGAAAACTCTTATTGCCACACCTTTAAACTCTATTACAAGCTTGTTTTCATGGTCAGTGTATCATATTTGCAGTAGAAAGTTCTATGACTAGAATAAACCGTTGTGGATATTGGTGAATAGATGACTCGTTTCTTGGTCGCCAAAGTAAAAGCATGATATATGCTTTTATGAAACATAATAAAACAAAAGAAAGATATAATAAGAAGCAGAATGAAAATCGGGGACAATGGAAAGACTTTCTTCTACAAGAAAGTAGGGAGACCGGAGTTAAATAAACAAGATATTTATATTATTACAGAATTTCACCATAATGATGTTTTGACTTGTTATTTGGCTCTAATGTTCAATGTTGCCTGAACGGTCAATCTTTTTACCTGGTTATTTGCCTCTAATGTTCAATGCTAGCTGAATGGTTAATCTGAATGAGTCAAATTATTTAATACTTTATGCAGACTTGCGCAAGATCTGGAATGAAGTGTTCTGTGGTGAAGCAACTCCGATGGAGTATGCAGAGATTCTGGATAAGCTCCGATCAAAGTTCTACTTTGAGTAGTTAATGTTTTTGATGCTTTTTTCATATTGGATCTCTTTTGGCAACCATATTCAAATGTAAATTATTACATTATTAATCGTTGAGCATTATAGGTTCTCTCAAGTTGAACCATTGTAGGTTATCTCAAGCATTAACTAATTATGGATATGGAGGCTGAGGATCCAAATTGTTATAATCTTTTTATTCTGTGAATTCAAGTGGTTAGGCATGATAGTTGGAAAGAAGTATTTGAAAGAGAGGTCCAATTTTCTGTCATGAACTATGGTTCCTTTTCAGACTATCTAACAAGTAAAGGGATGTCTCTATTTTCAACATTTAATAAAAAATATGGGAAATGTGTTGTGTTAAAGTGAGTACTCATTCATGTTCTCAATGGAATAATGTGAAGAAAAAGAGTAAAAAGTTGTTATAAATAAGTTAGTTTGAGTTTATTTACCACAATAATTCTAGTCTTTTGATTGAATATGTTGTGTCTTTTTCATTTGTTTGGTGAGTGTTTGATTCAATGTGAATGTTTCTCTTTCATGATGACTTATTAATGGTATAAGAACAAAGATTCCGATCAAGGGAGGAAATCATAGGTTTATTATCATTTTATTTGATTTAAGTTTTATTTTTTTAAATAATATTATGCCTACATTGAAGTTGAATATTCCTTTGTTTGATGGGTGAAAATGGACTTTTTTTTATGGCAATGCACGATATAAGACTATTTGGTTGACACTTGCTCCACATATTAAAGTGATTGAGTTGAAAGAAACTTTTTCAAAGAAATTGTGGGATTTGTTAGAAAGAAAATCTGCATCACCACATTAACCAACCGATTGATGATGAAAATGAATTTGTATTCACCGAAGATGGAAGATGAAAGTAATATATTTGACCATATTAATAAATTTAATGAGCTAGTATCTAGGGGAGTATATCAAAGATGAAGAGCAAGTGTTATTTTTATTGGCTTTACTGTCTAAATCTTACAAATCATTAGTCTAATCAATATTAGCATGAAAGAGCACACTACAGTTATATGAAGTAGTGAAATCATTGAAGGAAAGTTAATGAACGATGGGTATTAATCAATCTTCCAAAAAAAATCACGTACTAGTAGGCAAAGGAGGACAAAGAAATAAATATGATGATCAATATGGTAGAAATTTTCAACCAAGAGATGAGTTATGTCAAGTATCATTACTGTCAACAATTTGGTCACATGCAATCTAGATGTCTAGAATTTATAGAGGATGTGCGGAACATAAAGAAGAAGACAAAAGAATTGAAAATCGCTCTTTCTGTAAATAAGGTTAGTAGTGAAGACGATCTTTTAGTTTGTGAGGATGAAAGTGACTATGAAGTGAAAAGATATGAGACTTTAAATAAAGGGAGGATATGTTGTGTTAAAGTGAGCACTCATCCAAGTCCAAGTCCCACATCGAGTAATGTGGAGAAAAAATAAGTAAAAGATTATTATAAATATAGAGAGTTAGTTTGAGTTTATTTACCACAATAATTATAGTCTTTTCGGTGAATATGTGGTGTCTCCCCACTTATTTAGGTGAGTCGTTGACCTTTAAGTGAGTGTTTGATCCAATGTGAATGTTTCCCCTTCATGATGACACGTAAGTTGAAGCAGAAGCACGGTATTACTTCGTCACTTAGAAAAAGAAAGGTGAAAGACGTCCAATTAAAGCTCCTACTATAGCAACATGTATAGGCATCAAATGACTCATCAATTATGTTTCTTTTACTTATTTTATTTTTATTTTAGTTTAAATGTAAATTTGGTCCCTCTATTTTAGGTGTTTTAAACAATTGGTCCCTCTATTACAAAACCAACGATTTTAGTCTCTTAATTTAGATTATTTTTGAATTTTTGTGGTCTCTCTCTACTTTTGTATACATGACATTGATGATTGGGATAAAAAAATATTTTTTTATGATATGTTATTGATGACTAAGATAACTTATTAATTAATATTTTGAAAAAAATTATTAGGTTTTTTAAATCCAATTAATAACAACATCCATCTCAAACTTGAGCCCACAAAGACATTTTCTAATGTATTGTTAACTTTAATAAACATTAAAATTGTCTGAAACAAAAACGATGTGAGACTCTTCTTTCCACCTTTCTCTTCTTCCATTTTCTTCTCTTCTGCAACATTAAGTATAGCAGATTTACATCAGGTATAAAAATATAAGTAATGCAACATTGAAAAAAATTGGATAATCCATTATTTACATTAACTTATCCTCAATAATTTACATCAGAAATATAGATTTGCAAAAATAGCTTTGTGAAGTACCATGTCACATTAAGCATTAGTACTAACCGTAGTTTCTATGACCGGTGAATATCAAATTAATAGAATAAAGTTTCAGAAAAGGAAAATAGAAAGTTAACCTCTTTCTGAATGAATTTCTGTGCAAAACTGACTGGAAGAAGGTTATGTCATTTGTCCTGCATAAATCATATTTAAAAAACACATTTGGAATCATATTTAAGAAACACATTTGGAAGAAAGTTATAGCTGAATCTGTGAAGTTTGGTACCCTAATATCTGTAGGAGTTTGGTAGCCGGAAGCCGGAAACAAAAACCTCTATATATCAGTCCATCGACCAACTCCATATTTAGATATGTCATCAACCAACTTTGTCATTTCAACAGTTATAAAAGTCAACAATGAATTACACAATGTCTTTTTGAGCTAAGCTTAAAATGGATTATGTTATGAATTGGGCTTAAATCCAACAATTTTTTTCAATATTTTAAATAATTAATTTTTAAAAATATTAATTAAAAAAATAATTATTAATTTATTCTATAAAAAATATTAATTAGTACATTATCCTAGTCATCAATAACATCATTAAAAATTAAATTTTTATCCCATTCATCAATGTCGGTATGCAAAAGTGAAGGGGATTATAAAAGTTCAAACATCATCCAAATTAAATGATCAGAATCGTTAGTTTAATAATATGAAGATCAATTGTTTAAAACGTCTAAATTAAAAGGACTAAAAGTGCATTAAAATTTTTTATTTTTAAATTTGTTAAGATTATAATAAAAGAAAAGTGAAGGCGGATCGAAAAATGGAGTATTTATTTAAAAAATAAATGAAAAGAAAAGTGAGACATGAATGTATTGTTAAAAAGGGATTTTTTGAAATGCTTCTTTTGAAATATTTTATAGATGTATTTTTGAACACCCAAAAATATTTGCTCAACCTTTATTGTTTGATTGGACTGTTATATAGGTCTTGAAATCATTGTCTGGTTATTCTAATTTTAAATTAATTTGATTTTATGAGATTGAAATGAAATAATTTATGTTTTGATATTTTACTGCAAATCAGGTTTGACTTCAATTTTCCATAAACTTTTTAGCATAGAAATTAAAAGTAACTTCTAGCTAAATTACGCTTTATAGGAAGTCAAATTTGACTCAGTTATATATACTTAATTTTTTTGAAATGTTATATTATTGACCCAACAGTGAATACTATATTTTAAATTATGGTTTGAGATTAATTAGTATATATTGTCAATGAAAAAGTTTTATATAATTAATTTATTATTATTATTTGTTGATATTACTTTATTAATAATTAAAATAAAAATTATTTTTTTTTAATTATGATTAATTGACAGTATAAAATTATTTTATACTCAGTGCATTTTAATTAAATTCTTATGGTTAATATATATTTTCATTAATTTATATATGCAATTTTTGAAAAATTATCCGTAAAAAAATTTCCTTACGAGACCTAATCATCATAACATGTTTCTTTTAAAAAAAAATTAAAATCTATGTTGCCTTTTTTTTTTATAAACTTAGAAAATTTAAAAATTAAAACAATCCAAAAATTCTATCAAAGTTAGGATCCGAACGCCAGTTCTCTATCTAATAGAGTACACGTTTGGCCACTAGACTAGTCTAGTCACTTTGTTTTACTATTCTAACACAAAAACTACCCTGCTTGCACAACAACTTAACAACAATAACATTAGTAACACTAGAATATGATAAGAAAATCCATCCAAATCAAATATCTGAAAATGCATTTTCCTAAACACATGGAGTACAACTTCAGGTTTACCAGCAATAGCATAACCAACAACAAAGGTATCATCAAAACGAATCTGGTGAGCTAAAACACGCTTCCAGAATGTTTGAAGGAACTCAAGAACCAATGACACATGGCTAGCCCGGGTCAGGATATGGAAAATTGCTACAAAAGTAATTCGTGTATGGTTGAAACGAGGTTGAAGATCAACCCAGTCAAAGAACTTGAGACACTAAAGAATTTCATTATTGTCATCGTTGTGACGGAGGACATGAGTAACAAAGGGTTCGGATATAGGAAGCAAAAGGGAGGAAAAAAAAGGTGAGAAATTGTCACCGGTTGAGAGAATCTGGTAGATTCGAATGAGGAAGGGGTCTTTGGAATGATGGTGGATTTGAAACCATGTTTTAAAGGTGGAAGCGACGTCGTTTTAGGTGATGGAAAATGAAGGCGTTGTAGATGAAGAGAGTGGGAAGGAGAAAGGAGAAGGAAACAACATGATGAAGATAACTTGCCAAGTCATCTGCCACGTACACAAAATGAACGAACGTTTGGGGACAACTAACGGTGAAGACTCAATTGACACCATTTTGAAAGTTAGAGGATCAACTTGCCACTTTTTAAAGTTAAGAGATCAAACTGGATCCCGAGGTAAAGTTAAGGGATGAAAAGGGATATTTTGCCAAAAAAATAAAAGGATATGTAGTGTCAAACTATCAATATAAAATTATTTTACATTGTCAAACAAATCAACAACTATATAACGCCAAATCATATTTAAATTTTAAAAGTATTTTAATAATTTAGTTTCATTAAAACTATTTTACATTATTTGTTCATGGGCATGTTTCTGTTTGTTTTATCTTTTAAAAAATAGATTTTTTCTTTTTATTTTCGAAAATGATTTTAAAAAATTTATAATTTTTCTT